CTTTCTAACTCTGCTCCTCTTCAAGAGAAATTCACCACTAATGCTTTGGCAAATGCCCTTCCTATGACTATATTTCTAAATTTTCAGATATAGCTTTTAAAAATTGGGGAACACAGCAATCCAATATGCTATGGCTATAACCTTCCTGCTTCAGCAAGCTGAAAGTGACTTTATTTATTATTAATTTATTTTTGTTTTTTGAGACAGGGTCTCCCTGTAGCCCCAGCTGTCCTGGAACTTGCTATGTAGACCAGGCTGGCCTTGATCTCACCTGCTTCTTTCTCCCGAGTGCTGGGATTAAATGTGAGCACCACCATGTCTGTCTCTGAAAGTGAAATTCTTAACTGTACTGGTCCAGAAAGCAGCCAGACCATGACCACATTATCCACAGACTCACTCACTGCAGGGAAAAAGATCAGATACAAAAACATCTGAAAGAGATGTATTCCCTGTGTGCGTTGGTCCAAATAGTATGCAGGCAATGATATCCAGAGACTAGGTGAACTAAGTAAGGGGCTGCTTAGTATATTTTTGGTTCATCAGAACAGGCAGGACCCAGGGTTAATGCCTATGACCTACAAGTGACTTGCTTGATCCAAAACTCATAGATCTGACTCCTAAAACTACCTTTTTCTGTCATTTAAGAATTATAGCATCACTGAGAAATAGGTAAAAGAGGTCCAGCCAGCTACCAACATTGCTGCGGGCGCCCCTGAAAATGATCACTAGATGCTCATCAGCAACTCCAGCACTGCAACAGAACGCTGAAGCCACACTGTACATTTTAATAGGTCTAATTAGTCACAGACCCATGTTCTGCTTAACTTCTTCGTTACTTTCTGTAAAGGAGAAGAGGAAATAACAAAGCCTTCATCACGGAGCTGTTCTAAAGATGCATGATGAGAAGATATGTAAAAAGTTCAGCCAGTGTTACTGTTTAAGGTCTCTCTCCTAACCCCTCTTCTCTCTGTGAACATGCAACTTTAGAGGCTTGGCACTTCAATTATTTTTACTTAGTCTGAATTAATGTTTTTAATATCTTCAAAATATCTGTGTCATGGTGGAGCTCTTTTCAAAAATAAAACACCATATAGTTATGCAAGTCCATTTCAAGTTTATTTTTATTCTTATTAAAACAACATTTGAGACCGCTAGCAGCCTTCTTGGTTCCTCATAAGCAATTCTCCGGATCAAAGCGTCAACATGTCTCTCCCACAAAGCTACACATAAATAGCAAGCTCTTGCTAGTTCATATTCTAAAGGTCAGGCAGGCAGGACTACTTTTTGCAGCAGCCGTTCAGACAGAGCTGAACAAAGCAGCAACATGCAGAAACAAAAGCAGCACGGCTCCTGCCCAGAGAGGAACCAAGAGCAGGTTTCCAAACACCGCTGCCCTTCAAAGGACGGGGGAAATGACTTCCAGAAATGCCCCTGGTAACTACGCCGTCCAGCTCACAAAGACGGCTGGGGACTGTAAATTCCCAGCACCACGCGAGACCTGACACTGGGCAATCTGTCTCCATGGCAATCTCGTTGTGTTAATCGAGAATATTCCCTGCACTGCAGTGGACTGAGAGTCAAGAGAAGCCCCCACAAGGTGATTACGGAGTAACTGATTGTAACAGGGAAGACAGCTGCAATCCAACCCTGGAGAAATAACACTCTCCAATCAGTTGGGGGAGAAAGACCACCAAATGAAGATTAGCGCTGATTTTTATTCCCTCTCTGCTTTATTAAAAGCACGTTTCTTTTAGTCTAGCCCATGAGGCCCATACCTTCTGTCTATAGGAAAAGAGCTTATATAACCTTAGGGAGCATCTGATTTTCTAGGCTGAAAGGCTTCCCTGACCAGGAAACCTCCCCCTTCTTTAAATAAGCATCTTGGCATTTACTATTGTCAGATGTAATTACCTTTAAGGACTAAAAAGATGTGTGTTTACACAGGAGCATTCACTCGGAGCATACCTATAAGGCTTGCAGAACATTCTAATTATAAAAGGAAAGCCCCTGGAGAGCATAAATAACATTTCTGCAAAAACAGAAATCCATCCATTGCAATAGAGAGGAATGACAGACAAATTTAAAAAAAAATCTCATTAGTGTTATTAGTTAAAAATTCTAAAATGCGTTTATTTGGTTCCTTTAAAAAAGAAAAGCATTAGACTGCCAGGAAATCATTAAAATTTCACACATGAAATAGCAGCAAGCTAGTTATTCTCTTCCTAAGTTGGATCCCTGCAGCCTCAGGAGAACACAGAAAGGTAATTTCATTCTCTCAACCACTCCCAGGCAGAGATTTGCAGGTCACTCACAGCTTCTGCCAGAAACTGCCCTGGATCTGGCAAACAAGGTGTTTTGTTTAAATACTAATTAAATACGCCTAGTGGCAAACCTAACGGTAAGTAATTTCTGTATCAAAGATACTGAAAGGAAATCTTTAAACTGCCAGATGGGCTAGCGCAGCTGGCTACAAGATGTCATTATATAAATGTGAGGTTTTTAAAAAACCATTCTTTTATGAAACTGTTTTGCATACAAATAGCATCCTTCACCCTAAGTCCCTAAAAATACTGTAAGCATCTTAGGACATTCTCTAATCCTATATCTAGAGCAATTTTCTAATAAACAAGGTTACCCAGACTCTGCACCTTCTTTACATCTATGACTTCCTGAATAGGCCACATGGTTCCCTGAAAGGTCAGTATTTCTATTAGTTTACTTGCACTCTCAAAAGAAGAGAGAGGACCTGGCAAATTACACATCTTGACTGAAATGCTAATTGCTGTGAGTTCGTGACAATCATGAATCCAAGAGTGGGACCAGCGTCTCCTACAGATGTAACTCTGAAAGAGCAAATCTTAGCAAGCATGGAGGTCTACAACTAAGATCCAGCACTCAGCTGGCATGGTGATCCACACCTGAAATCCAGTACTCAGCAGGCATGGACGACCACACCTGAAATCCAGCACTCAGCAAACTGAGGCAGGAAAATTCAAGGTCAAGGTTAACCTGGGCAACAGCAAAATTCCATCTCAAAAACAAGCAAACAAAACAAACCAGAGCAAATCAAATCCAGCTCTACATCCAGCATCATTTCCATAGAGAAGGTAAATCTACATCCTCTCTGTTAATCTCATATCTAATTATTCAACAGAAGAAACCACAGATACACCAACCAGCCTCATTGCCCTGTTTTCCCAACACCTGGATTTTCAGGTCTCTTTTTTTCTGACATGAACCACTTTAAAAAGTTTGGTTTGGGGGCCAATAGGATGGCTCAGCAGGTAAAGTTGCCTACCACCAAGACATACAACCTGAGTTCAATCCCTGGGACCCACATGGTAGAAGGAGAGGACCAACTCCCTCAAGTTGTCCTCTGACCTCCACACTTGAACTATGGTGTGTATGTATACACAATAAATACAATTTAAAACTTTTTGTTTGCTTTTCTTTTTAAAATTAATTAATCATATTTTTATCCACTTATCCATGACAAAAAATTATGATGAAGTTGAAGCTAAAAAATAAAGCTTTATATCTTCTTTCATGACTCGTTTTGAAGCAAGGTTTCTCTGTGGCCCAAACTAGTTTGAACTTGGAATCCTCCTACTTCTGCCTCTAAAATGCTGGGATATAGGTGTGAGCTACCATTCTGAGACTTGCTCTTTAAAAATTACAGTTTTTATTTATTTATTTATTATTTATACTGTGTGTGGGCACACACACAAAGGCACAAACGTCATAGCACACATGCAGAGGTCAGAGTACAATCTACAGAATCAGCTTTCTCTTTCCATCATGTGATTCCTGGGGATCAAACTCGGGTTGTCAGGTTTGGCAGCAAGTGCCACTTAGCCATTTTGCTGACCGCTGTTTTGTTTAAGTGTTTAAGAAATTAGCCGCCCTGGAGACCAACCTAGCATCCTCCTTTGAGCACCATGCCCCTGGCTTTCAGCCTTTCCTCCATCCTTCTGTTGAGAGCTATTTTGCTAGGTGGAGGAGAGGCAGGGCTGACCTAGGAGTCAATGATTAACTATGAGTTCAGCTATCTAAAGCTATCTCTATACATGCTATTGTTCAAGTTATTCCACACATAGGACCAACAAAGCATCAGAGTTTAAATAAACCCATTTTCCAGTGCTGTCCCCCTCTATATATTTCTTAAGCAAGTAGGTGAACACATTTCTTTCCAAGAGCTCAGGTGTTAACAGCACCCTGGATTGGATAGGAGACTAGCAATTGATTCTGATCCATAAAATGGCACTAGTACATGTTGTGACATCTGTTGCTTTTCAGCCACTGATATCCATTCCCATAGCAGCCCCTCCATTTCCTCTGGGGTAACTGCCCCTCAATTTCTATAGTCTTCATCAGACAATCAAAGTAAGCTGTCCTTCCCAGCCTAGACAACACAAAGCATGTTATCCTTGACTTTGGTATCTGGCCCCTTTGGTATATATTGCAGCTCTTCCAGAGGCCAAGTCCCCCTGGGGGAGTCATTCATCCCTAGGAAGAGAAGAAAAGGTGGCCTAGGTTAGTTGTACATGTGGCATGCACTGACATGTCATGTGATGTGCAGTTCATTCTTTGACACAGTTCTGAAGGTCTGCTCTAGTCTCCTCACTGTCTCTCACAACTCCCTTTCCTGACTACAGTCTATATCAGTACATGTTCACTGTGTTTAAGAACCTGTGCTTCCAGAAAAGTCACCTTGAGAATGCAAATCTTAACTTGGAAGGCAAGGTTCTCTACAGAACACCTCCCACCTCAGCTGCTCAGTGGTGACAGGGTGACGGGGTGACGGGGCTACATGTGTTCATCCAGCTCCCTCCCTCTCTTCTCCCCTCTCCACTCTCTGTGACACATAGGAGCTCTGGCACTACCTTTACCATCAACCATTACCTAAAGATTGATAATACAGGGCTAGAGGGATGGCTCAGCAGTTAAGAGCACTGGCTCCTCTTGCAAAGGACCTATATTCAAATCTCAGCACCCACATGGCAGCTAACAACTGTCTGTAACTCCAGCTCCAGGGGATCCAACACAGGTACACTTACATAGATGCAGGCAATACCTTCATATGCATAAAATAAAAATAATAAAAAATAATAATTTTTTTTTTTAAGAAAGATCAGTAATACTCAAACTTCCCTCTCCAACTCAGGGAGCTCCTTGAGCTCCAGACTCTCAGACCTACCTTGTTATATGACCCTTTCCCCTGGATGTTCCTGGGCTTCCTCCTCAACTGGCTGACTCACAGTCTGGGTCTTTTCTCGCCAGTATTTCCAGTCTAAAGGAATAGTTCTGCTCTCCACCAAGCTTGGCTAAGACAGAAACCTTAGAACCATCCTGATGCCTCCTTCCCCACAAGGCAATACTCACCAAACCCTGCAAATTTCTCCTCTCTCTCTCTCTCTGATCAATCCAATCCTCTCCCTTCCACTATTCCATCTCTCAAATAATTGCCATCACCTCACGTCTGGAAGACCACTTTCTGTCCTTTTGCCTATGCCAGTCCTTCCCCAACACAGCCAACAGACCTTCAAAATGCAGCTAATGCTGTAGAGTGTCTTCTCACTGCTTTCCAGATAGTGATCAAATTCTATTCCTAGGACCATCCTACCCATCCAGGCTCACCCCAGACCACTGCTTCATAAGCCAGACCCCTCCAAAAGACCTTCCTGCTCCCACACTTAGATCCATGGTGAACTCAGTTTCCTCTACCCAAAGCCCACTCTCACCTCATATGCCCTGTTCCACCCAACTAACTGCTTTTTTGTTCAAGTAGATTCTCTGTGTTGCTTATTCAAGGAAGCCTTCCCAGCTACAATAGCTATAATAACTTGGACACTGAGTATGTTCTCTTTTGAGTGTGCAGCATGGACTATCACCACATATGTATTGACAGTACCTGGAATCCACCTCCCTGCTCAGAGCACAGGTCAACCCAACTGCCCGTTCTTTAGCTTCCACACCCCCGTTTAGCACACACTTACTTAAACACACATTTATTGCAAGTCTATGATATGCCAGAAATTATGCCTTACTTTCCTCAAATTATGTGGCTTAAGGGCTTATGTATGATCTCACCAAAAGGCACAGAAAATAGTACCTTTAAAAACAGATTTGCAATGTGGATGAAGTGGGACAACTGGTTAAAGTGGTGGTGTGTGGAGGCCAACAGCAGAGCACAGCACCCTCAGAGAGATGCTAGGCATGTAGAGTCAGACAAACACAGCAGGGGCAGGACACTGGACATGGGCTGGAGGACTGCTAGAGTGGGCAAGAGATGGCAAAGCATTAAAATAACAATGTTACTGTCTGGGTCACAGGGTTCCTAGGGCCAGTCTCCCAATCCTTCACCAAAGGGCTTCACTGAATGACTCAGTCGTCCAACCGAGAACTGACCCTGAAAGGACTCCAAAAATAGAAGAAAGATTCCCAGAGCCACTTCCTATCTCGCATCCTCCACTCTCCTGTTCCTGCCAAACTGCAAGGAATCATCGCCTAGCCCAGGTGCTGAGTTATTCAATTATTCTAGCAGTTTTCAAAACACATGTGCAGCTAGAAACTCTTCCGAAAGGGGGGAAGAGCCTGTTATTCAGGCTACTAGGTCAGTTTTTGATCCTCTCTTGAATTCTTCTTTGCCATGTAATTGCTTTTCAATAAAACAAGTAGCTCACTGACATCCCGTCCTTCTAGCAAGAAGCAGCAAACACATTCACTGCCATCAGCTGGCTGTTCACTGCACAGTCACAAACAGACATGCTGCTTCCAGACTTGCACAGCAGCCACCAGGCTCCCACACACTGCAGCGCCTGCGGCTGCAGCAGCAACTGAATTATGCACTGATCAGGGCAGCCAAAGAACCTGAGGAACAAAGCACTTCCAGCTATCCCCATCACCCGACAGGCACCTGCCTCACTTCCATCTAAAAAAACATACTTCTACCTTCTAAATCCTAACACAATGCAAAAATCACTAAAATAATCTGTCTGCACTCGAATCTGGAAACCCCGCCTCACACCTCTCCCACAGCCCACCCACCTGCTGCACTGTCAGTTCTCTGAGATATTTTCTACCAGAGAACAAACCAAAGAGACTGTTTTTGGGGGGAAAGGAACACTCATCAGGAAACAGGCCTGTTAGGCTCCATTTTAGAACAGGGCTCCTTTAGCCCTCTATTTCTGACTCTGAGGAACCCAACAGTGAAGCAGGTGAGGAAAGGTGAGTGCTTGCCACAGGTGACTTTTAACCCCAAATCAATGACAACACTCCAGAGCAAATGACATTTTTCATTTATTAAAAGTCTCAGGAACTGCCCTGTAACCCTGGAGCAAGGATCCCAGAGACTGAAGGACAGTAACAAACAGGGCAGCCTACTAGGAACAGACTCAGGCCAGGCTGGGAAATAGTGCTTAACACACTCAAATGTGAAGACCTGAGTTCCATCCCCAGAACCCCCCGTAAAAATGCCAGGTATGGTGGTGTGTGCTTGTAACCCCAGAGCTAGGGAGGAGGAGACAGGTTGAGACATGGGGCTTGGTGGCCAGTCTAGCCTAATTGGTGAACTCTGAGCCAATGAGAGACCCTGTCTCAAAAGAAAGAGGCAGACAGCTTTGATTGTCCTCTGGCCTTTCCAACCATGTGAATACACATGCACCCTCAGAGTCACATGCACCTGCACACACAAAAAAGAGACAGCACACATTTTAAAAAATGAGACAGAGAGAGTCAGGTCACTTTACAAATAGTCACTTGCAGGGGTGGAGAGATGGCTCAGCAGTTAAGAGCAATGGTTGCTCTTGCAGAGGACCCAGGTTTGAGTCCCAGCACCCACATGGCAACTAACAACTGCCTATAACTCCAGTAACAGGGGAATACAACACCCTCTTCTGACCTCTGTGGGCACTGCACGACACAAGAGCACTTACATGTATGTAGGCAATATAGTCATGCACGTAAAATAAAACAGTAATAAATAAAATATTTTTAAACAAATAGTCACTTGACCACAGGATAGAATGGGATAGAGCACAGTGTCCAGAAATGATAAAATGTTCACTTGTCACGGGAATTTGCAATGTCCAAATTTTACAATCATCCCCTTTCCCAAGAGGCTCTGAGATGCCAACAGCTGCAGAAAAGAGGAAGCATACGCCCGTGCTTCCTCCTTCCATGCCTCTTCCTTCCGTGCCTCCTCCTTCTCCTCCCTTCGTTCTTACCGTTCCTCCACCTGTTCAGCTCCATCTCCAAATGTTGGATAACATTCTTCAAAGTCTTGTTCTTCTCTTTCTCTTTTTCATATTTCTTCTTCCATTCTTCCGCTGTTAGTTCCAAGTTCACAGAGACTGTATTCTTAATGGTCTTAGCTCTGGAATTGAAACATAAGGGAAACTTCTGAGAATAGCCATTAGCATTCACTGATTCAATATAATCAAACCTTGGACTCCATTCATTTCCAAAGATGGACTGGGACAGCAGAGGCTTCCTGTCACCACGCCTACCTCAGAGCTGGGTTTGGGGCTCTGCTACTTTGGTTTGTTTTTGTTTTGTGGATTTTTTCTTAAAATTTATTTTTATTATTGCTGTGTGTGTCAGTGTCCCTGTGTGAGTGTGTGCTCACATGGGTATGATTACCCTTGGAGGCCAGAAATGGCATATTGGATCCCTTGGTGCTGGAGTTATAGACATTTGTAAGTCACCTGATGTCGGTGCTGGGATTCGAACTCTGGTCCTCATGACAGAGCAGCAAACACTCTTAATTGCTAAGTCATCTCTCCAGCCCCACACTGCTATTTCTTGAGGCCCCAAACCATCCTTTCCTTTTCTCCTTCACTACCTGGCAACCTTTCGGTCCAATGGACTTTTGTTCAAATTGTCTCTCAGGTGCCTTCTTGCTGGATTCCCTCTGCCACTCTGTGTTTTCAGTCCTACATAAGGTTATATATAGCCTTTCTCCAGTGTTCAGCATCCTGCAGACCACTAAGATTTATCTTCCTAAGTAGAGCTTCCATCCAATTCAACAAACATTTGAAAAATTATGAAGTACTGGGGACACACCAAGACAAATGGACGCGGTCTCCAGGCACTTAAAGCTTGGGGTTTCTTACGTCAGTGTTACAAAATGAAATATTAGTTACATTTCTTATTCTCCTTTGGTGTCTAGAACCTTCCCTGAAGCTTTAAACACATATCAACAAATGCCTCCTAGGGTAAGGGAGTCATATACATGACTGAAGCCCACCTGGGCTTCCCCTGAGCCCCTCATCAAAGGCAAGCACACAATGCTGAAGTAAAAAAAAAAAACAAAACAAAACCAAAACACAGAAATTGAGTTCCTTTTTAAATCTGTATTTTCTCAATGCAAAACACTTTCTTAAAATAATGCACTACGACACAAACATGTCATGACACCGTTTTACCATGATCTCCTAGTGCATTGGGCCTGGGGGTATGGTGCCATGTGCACAGCAGCTGGACAGTCACTGGAGGGAGCACCTACACTGGTTGAGAGTAAATCAAAAGGTATGGCTCACCTGCAGAGACATGAGCAGAGAAACAATCACTCCAGTGAAAAATAGACTCCTTGGGGTAGGAGTCACTGCTAAATTTTTTAAGAAGGTAAAACTTGATGTAAAAACATATGACATTCTGTCCTATTTGCTATTGACTTTCTCATTTTAAACTCCAAACAATTCTTGGACTGTCATGTTTGCTGGTACAGCTGACATGTGATCCAGGTTAATTACTGTTGTCATCAAATGACATTCAGGACATGATTTCTATTTCAGTGCAAGAAATTCAGCAGTCCTCCCTAGCACTACAGATGTCATTCCAAAATTAATTCCTAAAGCAGACAACTAAATAACCTGACTGTCAAAAGAGGAGTTAAACTTCTTCAATGTTAGACTCACTAAAGAATTAGTATAATTTTCATTTGCTGTAGCTTGAGGCTGCTGTCCCTAGAACTGTTTCGACTCTAGTTCTTCAAATAGAAGAAATTTTATTACTACTTTAAAGCCTGTTCCGGTCTGACATTCTCATCTCACCTGCCTTCTAACGTCCTCGGGCAATGCCATGCATGCTTCGCCAGTAGAAGCACAAACACAGCAGCATCCGTTATTAACTTAGTAAGTTAAAATATGAAAAATAACCCATGGCTAAAAATGACTGTTGTCATTGAAGAATATACTCTGAGACTACCAATCTTACTTTTTAAGTCATAAAGAGTCCCCTGAAGACTCCAAATGGCAGCCAAGAGAGAAAGATGAAGGTCTGTGCTGCCCTTGGGCAGGGCTAGCCAGGGGCATATTGTTCAAGCAGACCTACCAAGGTTATCACAACACAATAGGCTCTAGTTCTCAAAGCTCTTCCTTCTAAAAGCTGCCTAGAAAATTTATTTTCTTCTATTTCAGAAGTAACCAGAGTCCTGGCAAGAAGAGATTACCTACTCAACTTGCATAATTCTGAAATTTTAGCAAAGGTATGGAAAGGTTCAGAGAAATAGGGATCAGTATGATGCCTACACAGTACACATGGGAGGAGCTGGCGCTAGAAAGCTAGAAGGGAAAGGTTGCTTGGTGGGACCCATAATAGCCCATGGTCTAGTGTCCAGCCAGCCCCAAATGAGGCTGCAAGGAGGGACCCAGGAAATACTATGCTGGTTTGAATGAAAAATGTGCTCCACAGGCTCAAGTGTTTGAACACTGGGTCCCAGCTGTTTGGAGAAGTCAAGGAGGAATCACTAGGAGGTGTGACCTTGCTGGAGAAAGTATGTCACAGGAAGCAGGCTTTGAGAATTCATAGCATCGCCCCACTTATAATTCTCTCTTCTCTCTCTTCCTCTCTCTCTCTCTCTCTCTCTCTCTCTCTCTCTCTCTCTCTCTCTCTCTCTCTCTCTCTCTCTCTCTCTCTCTCTCTCTCTCTCTCTCTCTCTCTCTCTCTCTCTCTCTCTCTCTCTCTCTCTCTCTCTCTCTCTCTCTCTCTCTCTCTCTCTCTCTCTCTCTGAGAGTATTGCACAGAAGACACGCTTTGAGAATACACAGCCTCGCCCCCCATATATCTCTCTCTTCTCTCTCTCCCTCTCTCTCTCTCTCTCTCTCTCTCTCTCTCTCTCTCTCTCTCAGCTTCATGTTTGTCACTGAAGATGTGAGCTCCTGGCTTTCAGCTCCTCCCACCATGCCTGTCGTTTGCTGCCAGGCCTCCCCATCACGATGGACTCTTGTCCCTCTGGAACCATAAAACAAAATAAACTTTCTTCTATAAGTTACCTTTGGTCATGGTGTTTATCACAGCAACAAAAAGTAACCAATACAAATACATACCCTGAATTCATTCTCTTTGCCCCTTCCAATCATCTACTCATGTTCCATCCCCACTAACTGACCCTGACTAGAGGTCAGAGGCAGGGAAGCCACTGCATTATTCTAAGCTGGGGCACAGAGCTGGGCAACGATAACAGAGGAGCCAGAGGAAAAGACAGAAGATAATGCAATGCCAACTCTGACTTGACTCTCAAGCAACAGCAGAAGCTGCATCTCATACGGGATCCCTAGAATTCACTCAGGCCTAAACAGGGCTGGAGGCAAGACTTCCTATCCCCTGAAGGCAGGATATGAAGTCAGCTAATATGGATAAGAGAAGAAATTGACTCTACCAAAATTGCTCCATGGATTTAAAGTAATATCTCCCACATCCTAGGATGATGTGTGTGTATAAAACAAATGTAAAGGAATGAATGTCAGTACTTTGAAAGACAGCACTTAAAAAGTGATTACATACTCAAAAACTTTGGATAGAAATAGAATGGAGAAATGGCCCAAACAGACACTCAGCTCCACTGCCATCTGCATTATGAAAGGTGCCCGTACCACACAGCAAGAAAGATAGGCCTTTCAATATATGGTAAAACTCCAGTTCTATATAAAAAATCTATTCCAAATGGATCATAGGGTAAAACAGCTAAAAGAAAATCAAGAGAAAGTCTCAAGACCAGGAGTTAAGCAAAGATTTCTTGGATAGGACATAAAGAAATAATAAATTTGATGCCATTAAAATTAAAAACATCTCTTCATTAAAACCCTCCATTAAGAGAGTTAAAAGGCAAGTCATAAGAGGGAAGATGTGTAAACTGCATATAGCCGGCAAAGGAGTCTCCCAGAATAAATCCTGTAAATCAGTTAGAAAGGGGAAGACTTGAACAGGCATTTCGTAAGAGAAGTATCAATAAAACACTGAAAAAAAAAGATATAGACTCTATTAACTATTAGGAAAATATACATTAAAACTACAACAAAATGTCTTTGCATACCCAACAAAGGAACTTAAAAAAAAAGTATTTAAAAATGTCAACCACTGAGGGAAAGCAGTGACTCTAATCTGAATTTCTAGTAGAATATCAATTATTACTATCATTTTAGAAAAGTGGTACATAGCATCTTCTATAACAAAACATCTCACACTCTATGTCACAGAAATTCTATTCTTACCCAACAGGTACAAGGACATATGTTTACCCAAAGACAAGGCATCAAATGTCTGTAATGCTATTTTTAATAGGCCCCAAATGAAAGCAGTCCAAACACTCATCAACAGTGGAATTAATACATTCATCACACACTGAAATAATAGAATACTATTTAACTTTAAAAAATAAACTCCTACACCCAACAATGTAGATGACAGATACGACATATAAAAGAAGTTTTTTTTTTTTAAAAAAAAACATACTGTGTAATCTCATGCACATAAAGTTTAAAGACTTACAATACCAGCCCATGTTGATTGAAGAAGGGATGACAGTTACTTTTGACACTGGAACACTGATTAAGAGGGTGTAAGAGGGAGGTTTTTAAGGCAGCAGGGGTGGTTACATATTTGTAAAACTTTAAATGTACATGCTAAGTTGATGCTTTTATTTGATGTATGCTACATTCAATAAAAAATGAGTTACAAAAAATAAACTGATATAGAATGGAAACACATCAGATACAAGCATTTCCAGACATCTGAACAAACCAGAGTTGCCAAGAAAGAGATTGAATGTCTGTGTCCTGAGGGCTTTTCTTTTTCTTTTTTTTTAATTT